TATTTTATTTTATTTATTTTTTTTTTAATTTAATTTTATATAATTTTATTTTTATATTTATTTATTCTTATTTAATATTTTTATTACTATATTTTTTATTTTTTAATTTAAATTTTTTTTTATTTTTTATAATTTTAATTTTTGTTTATATATAAATTTTTAATTGTTTTTTTTTATCGTTTTGATTTTTTTATTTTTTATTTTTTTTATTTTTTATTTTTATTATCTTTTTTTTTTATATTTTTTATTAAGTTTTTCTTTTTTATTTTTTATTTATATAATCATTTTTTTTTTTTTTTATTAATTTTTATTAATATTATATTTATCTTTAATATCTCTTTTTCTTTTATTTTGTTTATGTCTTTTATTTTTTTTTTATATTAGTCTAATTTTTTTTTTAATTAATTTTTTAATGATTACTTTTTTTTTTTTTTAATTTTATTTATTTTTTTTTTTATTTAATTTTTAATTTTATTTTATTTTAACATTTTTTTAGTTTTTAATTTATTTTTTTTCTTATATTTTTAAATTTTATTTTTATTCTTTATATATTATATTATTTATAAATTTTTTAAGTCTTTTTCTATTATTATTCTTTTTTTATTATTTTAATTAATATTTGTTGTTTATTTATTATTATTTTTTATGAATATTGTGTTTTATATTATTATTTAGTAATGATATTATTTCAAATTTTTTTTTATATTTAATTTTAAATAATAAATTTTTTTTTTTTAAGCTTTTTAATTTTATATTTTATTTAATTTTTTGATTTAAATTATAAATCATATTCTTTTTTTATATTTTATTATTTGTTAAATATTTTATTATAATTCTCTTATTATTTTTTTATTTTATTTTATTTATTTAAATTTTGTTTATTTTTTTTATTCTTTTATTATTTTTTTTTATTTTTTTCATTTATTTTTTTATTATTTTTAATATAATTTATTTTATTTTTTATTTTTTTTTTATTTAATAATTTATAATTTTTTTTTTATAATTGTTTTATTTTATATAATTATTTTTTTATTTATTTTATTTTTTTATTTTTAAATTTAAATTTATTTTCTTTTAATTTTTTTTATTATTTATTTTTAATAATTTGGTAATGATTTATAATTATTTTTTTTTGTTAAAATTTTTATGGTTTTTATTTTTTATTTTTAATTATATTGTTTTTTTTAATTTATTTTTTATATTTATTTTATTTTTATTTATTTTTATTATTTTTCTATTTATTTTATGGTATTTTGGGTAATTTTTATTTTATTTTTATTTTTTTTTTTTATTTTATCTTTGTGTAAATTCTTGTATAATTTTTTATTTATATATTTATATAATTATATTTATATTATTTTTTTTCTATTTTATGTTTTTTTTTTAGTTAATTTGATTAGTTTTTTTTATTTCTTTTTTTTATTTAATTTTTTATTCTTAATTTATTTTTTTTTATAATTTTAAAATAATTTTTTTTTTTTTAAAGTTTTATTTAATTTTATATGATATTTTTATAATTTTGTTATTAATTAGTATTTAATATTTTATTTTATTTTATTATTAATATTTATATTAATTTTTAATTTATTATTTTTATTTTTTTATTTGTTATTTTATATTTATTTTTATTTTTATTTATTTTTTATTTTTTTTTATTTATTTTAATTTATATTTATTTTTTTTTATTATTATATTTAATATTATATTTATTTTATTTTTTTTCTTTTTGTTTTTTTTATATATATTATATTTTTTATATTTGTATTAATATTTTTTTTTATATTTTTTTTATATAATATTATTTAAATTTATTATTTTTATATTTATTTTTTTATTATAATTTAATAGTGTTGATTTTTATATTTTTTTATTGTTTATTTATTATTTTAATTAATATTTTATTTTATTTTAATATTTATTTTTATTTTATTTTTTTTTTTTATTTATTTAATTATGATTTTTTATTATTATTTTTTTTATTTTTTTATTTTTATTTATTTTTTTTTTTATTTATATTTTATTCTTGTTTTATCATTTTTTTATTTTTTATTTTTTTTTATAAATTTTCTTTTATGTTTATTTATATATTTTTTATTTTTATTTTTATTTTTATACTTTTTTTTATTAAATGGTTATTATTTTTTTAATATTTTATTTTTAATTTTTTTTTTATTTTTTTATGTTATTTTAGTTTTATTTTTATTTTATTATTTTTATGTTTTTATTTATTTTTTTTTTGTCTTCTCTATATTTATATTTAATTTTTATTTTTTTAATGTTGTATTTATTTTTTTTAATGTATTTATTATGTTTTTTTTTTAATTTAATATTTTTATTATTATTTATTTATTTTTTATTTATTATTTTTTTTATTTATTTATTATTTATAATTAATATTTTATATTCATTTATTTTATATTTTTTTATTATTATTTCTTATATTTTTTATTAAATTTTTTTTATTTTTTTTATTGTATTATTATTTTTTATTTATATTTTTTTTATATATTTTTTATTTTATTTTTTAATTTATTTTTATTTTTAATTATAATATTTTATATTATTATAATTTTTTATTTTATTAATTATTTATTTTTTTTTTTAATTTTTTATATTTTTATTTATTAAATATTTTATTTATTTTATAATATTTATATTTAATTGGTTTTATTTTTTATTATTTAATTATTTTTATTTTTTTTAACTTATTATTTATTGTTTTTATTTTATAAATTTTTTTATATATTTTAATATTTTGTAGTATAATTAATAATTTATGGTTTC